ATACATATTATGTCGTCCACATATCTAGCGTAGAAGTTGACCCCTAAATTGGTTGTGAGATGCTCTTTACTTTTATTTTTTTAAATTTTATTTTAGAAAAAATTAGAACCAAGTTGAATAAAATTTTTTTAACGATTATTATAGGCTTCAAAAAGAAGTGTCATTTACATTGGTTATTGTGGTACACTAACTGTACATTGAATTCTTGTACTAAAATATATCTTTCTTATGCTTCCAGAACATTATAAAAATAATTAAATATAACAAAATTATTAGCACCAATAGCTAAAATAGCGAAAATGCAAATAAGCCTCAATACTAGGTAGTGTAATTTTTTAGATTTATACGTTTAAAAAAAATAATTAATAAGCATTCGAAATCTAAAAAATACATTTTTAGAACAAAGACGTGTAATGTGTAAATACAGGACTAGACATAAAACGTAAGTTTCATAAAGTGGACGCAATCCTTTCATCGAAAGGGGTCAAAATCCAATGCATACTATAATATCAGATATATATAACACAATATTTGACTGCAATATTTTTATAAATATATTAATTCGTTTCCCTTCGCAGGGTTCATTTGTGCTTCAATCGCTATTTTAAATGACTCTCGCTTTTTGAAGTGAAACTTCTTAGGCGGCGGTATCGCAAAAATGGAGAGTGAAATTTTTAAAACTGAAAACGTTACATGAGTGAGAAGGAAGATATAGGTGGTATAGGGAAGTGGAAAAAAGAAATAAAGCGACGCATGACGGGTACGAGTACCTACATATGTATATATGTATGATTGAATGCACGTATGTATGTATACATATATATGTATGTATGAACGAAGTCATTGCGCATTTCAGCTCTGCCGCTGCCAAGCAATATATGTGTAAATGATGCAAGCGTGCTTCGCGTAACTATGTACATCCATTCGTTCATATGTACATATGTTTGTATGGATATATTTATGATGAAGCAAACAGGCTTCGTTGATGTTCTGATGGGCATATGTATGTACTTATGGACAGAAATGTTTTCATGTATGTACATATGTTTGAATGGTTGTATGTATATATATTTGTATGTATGTACATATGTTTGTGTATGTACATATGTTTGTGTACATGTATATATGCACATATGTAGTACAAACGAAAACAAATCTAATAAGCTGCTCGTTGATATAAATGCGAACTGTACTGATTGTCAAAAATTATGTGTTTGTTGTANATGTAGAAACTGAATGAATGAACACCATTTCATGATTTCGATTAACGCGAAATAGAGTTTATGCACTTAGTTTTTACTCAGATCGATGAAATGATTTCGTGAATTGGACTACGCATACATGTTATACTTATGCTTTTAATTTATAAGGTAATTTTATATTTTATACTCTTGTTGCCACATGAATATACGAATTCGTGATAAGAATATATGAATTCGCCTTGGAAGATAGAAAGCGAGTAAGAATAAATGCCGAACAAAGGAATTTGTCTTCTTTCAACTTAAATAAATGCATTTTGCAAACAAAAGTGCGTATGTTACTTAGTGCCTTGGTGATGGCGAATTCGTAAGGCTCTATTGATTGCATTATAAACATTTTCATTTATTTGTTAAACATACAATTACTTCCATTACAACCCGGTCCTATGGATGCTAGAAGCGTGAGTTCATATAAGGTGGTGTTACCAGAAAATGAATAAATAAATTAAATGTATATCAGAAAATTAATAAGATGAAATGAAATTATTGTTTGATTTCTAACCAAACCTATGTATGTAACTCAATCGCCTAATGGTTTGCCGAACCGTAAACATATGTTTACACATCCAATTTCGTGAGTAGGTACCTGGTACTCACACTTTTTTAAGAAGTTTCACTTCTAACATGTGTACGGTGTTACACACGCATTTTTTTTTTAAATAGGTAGTTCCCATTAGCCGCTGAATCCATAATACCATTCGTTCCCCTAATTGCAAGGAAAACAATGTTATCACCATTGCAACAATAAAAAGTTTTACGGCGCTCTTGAAATTTTATTGACCTTGAGGCCGTTTCTAATGAAAAAAATGTTGTGGAAAAAGAACAATAATTTACTCATAGGTAGAATTTATAGCAACTATCATCAAATCTCCTCACCAGACTTCTTCACCGCGGTCACTGGGATATGAACCATTAGAAACTGCCTCAAACTCAATAAAAATTGTTGAGATCTCGAAATATTTTTTACCATTGGCATCCTAAACTAAATGATGGTAAATTTGTATGTAGATTTCCCTCCCATAGAGGGGGGCTTGAATAAACCCCCAAAATCACTGGATTTAAAGCTTAACGATGTTGTGCATTTTCCTCCATATAAAGTACTATGCTCGACCATGCTCAAAATTTCTTTTTATATGGAAGAAAATGTTTAAAAATCAACGCGATTTTCTAGCGTCTTGAAATTTGCACTTTATTCTACTAAAATTTAATAGGCTACAAACCTACCCCTACACCAAAAATTAAAAAAAAAAATCTGATTAAAAAGTTTGAATTATTTGAGTGGTTTTGGTAAAATTTTTATAATTTTTGTACAAAATTTGAAATGTGGATTTATGTGACGCGTGTTAAACAATGCACTAGACTTTTATAAAAAAATATTAAACATCGAATAAACAATAGTAATATGTATAGCCAAAACTGGTCAAAATAAAAAGTTTATATTATTTCTTCCACCACTGTATGTATGTAGTTAGATATGTAAATTAAGTTTAAAATAAAGAGCTTAAATAAGTTCTTTATTACTGATAAATTTATGAATTTCAACATTTACTTAATATTACATCCAAAATTACTTGTACAATTGCTATGTGAATATATTTGTCATTTAGGGGCGAGCGCCCGCTCGTTAGCGTCACCATAATATTGTTATAACTTTGGAACTACTTGTTGTCTAAACCTGAAACTTTCCCACAAACTTTCTTGGGCATTTGTCCATAATTCTGTATTAAAATATTAACAAAATTCAAACTCAATAACATTACTTTTGCATTTGAAAAAACTACATCCATAATTTTTATAAAAAATCCGCCACTTCATTTTTGATAAGTTTTGAGGACTGCAGTTAATCTCAGTTTCTTTAGAATAGTATCTAGTTTATTGTGTAAAAATTTCAAATTAATCGATAATAAAACGTCTGAGATATGCCGAGTTCAAGTTAAAATTTCGCAAAAATTGGCCGCTGTGAAAAATCAGGTGATTTGGCTTTTTCGACATGAAGGCATCTGTAAAAACTAGGTTAAAATTAACTGTAAATGAATCTCTGTGTAAGCTATCAATTACAATCGGCCTCAACCGGTTACTTTGACCCGAACCCCTCTCGAGATTTCTCGAGCTTGCTAAATAGAGCGTAGAGTTGTCGTAGGGTTTTCGACCTAGCTTCGTTGAACTGTGTACACGGCGAAAAAGTCTCGCTAAATAACTCTCACATAGACTTTGTAGGTGAGTCTCTCGTAGAGCTCTATTGAGTTTTTACACGTCTCTAGCGAGATTTTTGTCTAAATCTCGTTTTTTCTACCGTGTACACTTACCCTAAGAGAGTAATTTTGTTATTTGACAGTTTTACAGGTTTTTGCACGAAGTTATCTGGAACGCAACTATAATTTATACTGAGAAAACACAGAACTTAGTGTTCACAATTCACTGGCACCTTCATTTTCACTCAGTTGGATAATTTTTTTTCAATGAAAGCTATTAAATTTTGCAAGAGCCCAGTTGAGCCCGTGTTTTGAAATATTGTTTGTTTGTATTAAATTTTGTAGTGTAAAGTGCTGAAAAAGTATACATTTTTTAGAAAATCGATTCTCCTGTTCCTGTTAATAAATGTTACATTATAAAAACTGGTTGAAAACCATTTTAGAGTACCCCCGAAACGAAGAAATTCCCCAAAAAAATGTTTCATGTTTTATAAAAAAATTTTCCATAAAATTAAAAAAAAAATTGTGTGTTTCTAGAAAAAATTTTGGTATGCAGTTTTATATATCATTAAATTTTAGTACAATAAGGTACGATTTGTAAGTGGCTAAAATTTTCGCTAACATTTTGAGCACATCTGCGTGCTACATGGGAAATAAAAGCTTTTGTTATAATATTAAAAATCAACGCGAACCCTTAGCCACTTGTGACTTGCAGTTCATTGTACTAAAACTTAATGATCTATAAAACTGCATACCCAAAATTTTAATAAAAATTAAAAATAAAAATATAATTTTGGTGAACATTTTTTATAACATTTAAAATTATTATTTTTTGAATTTTTTTGTTTTGGGAGAACCCTACAATTTGTTTGCAACTAGTTTTTATTATGTATGTACATTTATTAACTGGAACGGGAGAATCGAGTTTTTTCAAAAATGCTACTGTTTATGCACGTCGCACTAAAAAAATAAATACAAACAAACAACAATGCATAATATTTTTTAATATTTTTATTGAGTTTTGTGCCACGATTGTTTATTAGGAAAACTTGAAAAAGCAACAAAGTTTAAGCGGTAGAAGTTATAGCAGCTATTTCGGAGATCACCACATATCTTCAACAGACCTCTTTTTTCTAGACTTCAGCAGGGATCGAACCTGCGTAGTCAACGTTCAAAGTCAGAAGCGTTAACCACTCAGCTATGTACACCCCGTAAACTCTTGTTGCTAATTCAATTTCTTTATTCAACAGCTTAGTGGCTGTGTACAAAAAAAACAACAATTCATAAAGCTGGCTCAAATGGTCTCTTGCAAATTTTATTACTTAGCAATAAAAAAAATATCAAATTGAGTGAAAAATGCAGGCTCCAGTGAATTGCGAACACAAAATGCAAATTTTGAACCACTCTGCGCTGTCCCTAGCCGGTTGTTTCTTTGGTTGTTTTATTTGCATCGTTTATTTTACCCAAGCATAAAATATATATAGATTCAGATTTTACCTTTTTAAACTAAATAAACTGAAATTAAATTAACGTAATCTTTATTTTAAAGCTCCGCCCGAAATAACTGTTGAAAAGTCATGGGTCCATGCAGCGGAAGGTTACGACGTGGAGCTTGTGTGCATAGTACATGGTGATGTAAATTCTGAGGTAAGCATAAAATTAAACATGTACCAAATTTTAAAACATTTGGGCATATAATTTATTTATATTATGCATTTAGTAATTTTATTTGGACAATTTCTACATCATATTATGTAAAATGTTTGTGTCTTACTACTTTTTGGTCCATATTTACATTGCCAAAGCTCATTGTGCATTATTTTCAAACGGGGTACTTCCTTAAACTGGCGAATTCTTTGACAACTTCGAATGACTCGAAACATTTATTGAGCTGTCAAAGTTTTCAGTTGTTTATTTCTTAGCATGATACAAAAAATAAGGTAGTTTCGTTTAATGACATTCGTTGTTGTTGTTAACCATTTGACTTTTAATAAAATTATGGCATTTCATCAAATTCACGCTACCTGATCACTACAAGAAATATTGGATTTTTTAAGCAGAAGATTTTATCAGTACATTCAAAAGTGTGGAATATGATGAACTAGAAAATTATGCCGGCTACATGATTTCGAAAATGGGCTTGACGACTAGGTTTCAGAACGCATGAAGAAAGTGTATACTTACATATCGTCGCTTAAAGTACAAAACCGCGTATCGTCGTTCTGCAAAACCGCGCAACTGACATTTTTTGCCAAAAATTGGATTTGCTCACACTAGCTCTTGGCTCAATCTTTATCCATTCGTTCTGAAATATACTAGCCAGAAATGCTATTGCTTTATAAAAAGTGAACCATTTTGAAAAATGAGTGTTTTTACTCTCTAGAAAATAATTTATACAACCTCACATACGCGGTTTTGCATTATCTTGATACGTGGTTTTGCTTTTCTTGATACGCAGTTTTGTACTTTAAACGACGATATGTGTATGGTGTTTGTTATATTATGGGTTAGACTTTTATATAAGACTAACAAATACCCGGCGTGCTTCGCGACGCCTCGTGAGTAATTTTGCATCAAAGTTAAGGAGAAACCGTATTGAAACTCAGATGGGAAAACCTGTTCAGGGGAAGAATTTTTCCTTTATTAGTATCCATAATTCATATGGCCGGCCATTGTAACGCTAGTACATATGTATGTACATATAATGTGTTGTAGTCGATTGGCAATAATAATAAAAGTTAAGATCTAAATATCTTCACAAATCAGTGCCGTATCAGTTCAGTATCATTGGTTGCTTTCATAAGACGTAGCTGTTTAGCTCATCTGCTACGAAACTGCTGGCAACTGTTGAACCCAACAATTACGTCTTAGAAACGGCATGATGAATATGCTGCCAAATGAACAGCTGATAAATGTAAACAAATGAAATTGCAACAAATAGAAATAGTTGAGCCGATACTATTTAGAATTCAACGCTGAGCGGCCGCCGTGTTGAAAAAATCGTTCAATGTTACTGTTGCTCTTTTGGCAACTTAATCAGGGGTGTGTTTAATGCCTTTTAAAAACACGATGCAGAGGGACATCTATCGTTCTTAGTTTTAAATAAAAGAGGTCGAGATTTTCCTTTAAATATATATACAAATTTCAATTCTTTATTAGAATACAAGCAAAAAGTGGGCTGTAGTAAAAAGGTGATGCAGTCTATGCTGATCAAGAGTTCGATTGCGAGTGCTCGAGCCCTTCGCGTTTTAAAAACGTTAGGTTTTAGCAACTTTTAATATGTGTGTGTACATGGGTTCGTTTTAAACTCTAGGAACATACATAGATATGTTCGAAAACCAATGTATACATTTTTATATAATTCAACATTTTACGTGTAGGTACATTAGGGAAAAATTCAAATTTTGGATGGGTGTGCTATTCAGTATGAATTCAAAATATAAGAATGCGAAACATGTATGCATATATGTATATCTGTGTATATAAAACAAATTGTGAAAACGCCTTAGTCGTCCATGTCCTCAACATCGCGCCCGCCCTGCAGTGCTAGTGCCAGCAGCAGCTCCATCAGCTGCTCGATTATGATCTGTACCTTGTTCAGCAGTTTGCGGACCTGGCGACGTTTGATAGCGGAGCGGCTCTGGAGGTTTCCTGCTTGTTTTTGGATTGTGCGGCGGCTGGAAGTTCGGCCGTTTCGGATCACGTTTCTGCGTCTATGCCCTGGCGAGCTCGAGGTCGTTCGGTGCAGCAATGTATGGTGCACCCTGCCGCAACGGTGAAAACTAGCCGGAGAATCGCAAGCGCCAGTTACATGTGAGGTGGCCAGGCAGTTGACACAGTATTTGTGGACCCGGGCCGATTCATGCCTCTCGTCAGGTGTCATCGCGAGGAATGCGCGGCAAAAGCGCAACGAGTGTGGGCGACAACATAGGCGGCACTTGCTGAGCTCCATTGATGCTTCGTTCGTCCTATGAAGAAGAGGAAATTCGAAAATAAACATTAGTTTTTTTCCTGTAAAGGCGGAAAGATGAGAGTGAAAGTTTGGTGTAGTGTTTAACCAATGAGCGTGGTACCACCTGCACATGACTGTACGTCGTGCGGAGGGGTATGCATATTAGGGTATGAAGAAAGAAAATTAGGAATGGGGATGATGCATCAAGCATCCATTGTGCTAGGTGGAGGTGGTAGCAAGCATAATCTTGCAATGTTGCGTGTTACAACTCCTATTTGGGTGTGTATATCTGCCACGCAAACGTTTTGGTCAGGACCGGGATAGAGTTTGACAATACGTCCTAGGCGCCACTCATTTGGTGGTAGGTTATCGTCTCTGATGACGACTAGATCTCCTTCTGCGATAATGCGCTCTTTGCCTTTCCATTTGTGCCTCTTGTGTAGATCTTGTAAATACTGATTTTTCCATCGGATGCTGAATTGATGGTGAAGTACCTTGAGCTTCTGCCATTTGTTTATGAGAGACAGGTTTTCTGCCTTGGGTTCTGGCAGAGAAACGAGTGGTGCTCCTCTTAAAAAGTGTCCGGGAGTTAGCGGCTGTAAATCGCTGGGATTCTGAAACAAGGGAGAAAACGGCCGGGAATTGAGTACCGCTTCAATTCGTATGAGGAGTGTGGTAAATTCCTCGAACGTAAATTTATGAGTCCCCGCGACTTTGGTAAAGTGTGTCTTAAAGCTTTTAACCGCAGCTTCCCACAGACCTCCCATATGAGGAGCATATGGCGGTATAAATTGCCAGGAGAGACCATGAAGTTCATATTTTTCAGCGATGTCTGAGGCAGCTTCCCTGAGAAATGTGGAGAGTTCTCTGTGGATTGACCTCTGGGCGCCTACGAAAGTTTTCCCGTTGTCCGACATGATTTTGTGAGGAAGACCACGTCGGCCCACGAATCTGGCAAAGCATGCTTTGAAAGCTTCAGTTGTCAGGTCTGAGCAGAGTTCAAGATGGATGGCCTTTGTGGAGAAGCACACAAACACACATACGTATGCTTAAGTGTATGAGGCTCGTCGCAGTAAGGAAGTTTTAACTAAGAACGGCCCAGCGAAATCTATTCCGGTGGTGTGGAAAGGAAGCGAGTATGTCGCTCATTCTGGAGGCAGTGCCGCCATTATTTGTGCTCGCATTTTTTGTTTGAATATGGTGCATACCTTGCAGTGAAATATACACTTCTTTATTTTCTGTTTCAGGCGGGGCACGTAATATTCCTGTTGAACCATGCGTATCATGAGCTGTTTTCCCGCGTGGAGTAGAGTTACGTGGAGGAAGTCTAGAAAGAGGGAGAAGAAGGTGGAACTGTCTGGTATTATAATAGGGTGCCTTTCGTTAAAACTGAGTGCAGCGTACTTAAGGCGACCGTTTACGCGCATTACGCCAGCTTTATCCAGCATGGGGTTCAAAGATAGCAGTGAGCTTTTTTTATTAACGGGCTTAGAGGCTTCGAGCTGTGCGACTGCTTCTCCATAATGATTACGTTGGGCGCATATGATGAGTCGCGTTTTTACGCATCTGATTTCTTCTTGGGTAAGTGTATGGGTGATGGGCACTGACTCCTTTCGCGCGTTGTGTAGAAAACGATATACGTAAGCCATTACCCTAAGTGCGCGAGAGAAGGACGAGAATCGAGTGAGAAGGTCTTCGTTCTCTATGGTGTGGTACGCTTCCACCGATTTTTGTTCGGGGGGAGATAGAGTTGGAGGCGCGTTCTTTGGCCAGCGCGCTGAGGACTTTGTGAGCCATTGGGGCCCATTCCACCATAATGAACATTCTGCCAGATCTTGCGGCTTGCATCCTCTTGTGCCGAGATCTGCCGGGTTATCTGAACTGGATACGTGTCTCCAGGTGGCATTACTGACGTTCTGTAGTATGTGTGAGGTTCGATTCGCTACATACGTCTTCCATGTCCATGGGGGCTTTTCTAGCCAGGCCAATACTATAGAGGAATCGGACCAGAGGGTGAGCTCGTGTACTGGCAAATTGAGTTGGGATCGAATCTGCCTAACTAGTTTAGAGAGCAAGACCGCTCCACAGAGCTCCAAGCGAGGGAGACTTACAGTTTGAAGAGGTGCGACCTTGCTTTTCGCTACGGGTAAGTGGGCGGATATAGAGCTTTCGCTGTGTTGAACTCGCAGATAAACGCATGCGCAGAAGGCTATTTCGGAAGCATCTGAGAATCCGTGAAGTTCAATACCCTTGTCCGGAGAAAACTGTACCCATCGTGGTATTCTTATATGTTAGATGGCTGCTAAGTTTTCTTGAAAAGAGTTCCACTTGCGAAGCGCGCCGGGTTTGACGATTTCGTCCCATCCTGTGCCTTCCATCCACAGTTGTTGGAGTAATATCTTTGCCTATATCATCATTGGCGTTAGCCACCCTGCCGGGTCGAAAAGTTTCGCAACGGAAGACAAAATCTGTCTTTTAGTGGCTATTTTGGAGTCTGAAAGGGGGATCCAGTAAGAGAATTCGTCGCTTAGGGCATTCCATTTTATTCCGAGAGTTTTTGTGGAACTGGAATCTTGGAATTGGAGGAAGTCTGCGTCTAATAGATCGGATGGGGCTATAGTTTGGAGAATTTCTTTGTGGTTTGCCGTCATTTTCTTTAATGGGAAACTAGCTGACTTTAGTGCTGCAATCACTT